CTGGTCATTGTCGTGCGCAGGGTGTAGAGTCCGTAGCTGCAGTAGCGCGCTACTTTTTACGGTCAATGTGCACGGGACCGGGGGAGACAGGCAAGAGAATCGTAAATTGCCGCTTCGTCGCGCGCGGCAATGGGCGCGACGTTTCCTTATTTGCACTACCCTTTCGATTGGAGCATCGGATTTCATGTAGACAAGGACATGGAGACTTATGTCTATTTTTGGTCATACATTGTCTATTCTCGACCAATACCACCTAAAATCGTCGTCATTAGCGGGCGCGACGTCGCACGCGACGCCCACTGGCGCGGCGAATTGCGATTCTCTTGCCACATACCCCGGACCGGTGCTGCATGGTAGTGACACTCGGGTGCCATTTCCGGACTTCGCCCCCTCTATCGCACGGCCATTACACGCCTCACTAAAGCCAAACGCGAGTCCACCCCTCACTTCTGGATGTTCTCTACCTCTGACTGCGTGCGTGTTCGCTGTGAACTTATGGCATCGACACAAGTGCTGCCCCTTGAGGAAAGCGCAGGTGGGGTCTGTCTTTCATTAGAAAAAGGTTCGTTAAGCAAAGAAAAATCATAAAAAAAACGCTAACCGGGTTTTACTACCCCTGCAACCGCCGGTTCCCGGTGCACGTTTTGAGCGGAGATACAGGACACGCCTGCTGGGCAGCTGCGCGAGCCCCTATTCGTGACTTCGCATAGCAAATGGCATGAGGCCTCCAACTTCTGTGGTACTGTCAAAGGGGGGGGGGAGGCTGTACCGAAAGACACACAGTGGTTGCTCCGCCCATGGAAGCAACCGTAGGCAAAGCCGTATGTCGTTATCGAAAAGGAATAGTGAATCTTTATTCTAATACTGAACAATCCGTATCCTAGGAACAACAGCAAGATTTGACCCGTCAAGATGTCTTGAGTTTAAGCGATTGAGGCAAATCACAGCTAATACAAGTGGCAACATTTCAGATATAAGAAGTGAACTCTGAGCGTCAAAGGGCGATAGAAGAGAGAATTCAGGATGCATGCACAATAAACCTTAAAGACACATTCCGCATCGTATAAGCGGTGTCACTGGGACTGCTACGTCCTTCTTAATGACGGGCTTCACCTTCCCAGGTGGCAAAGAGGTGGTGCAAGAAGAAGCAATTATCGAAGTGACCCGCCCATATGATCAACTTGGAAAGAGCCATTAAATGTTTCCGGTTTACATACAATAAGCAATGACAATAAAGTATCTAAGCGGAGAAATCTACAACACCACCGAGTTGAAATCTCAAAAATGTACAGTACTAAGTCCTTATTGAAGATGAATAGGACCTCCACGATAATCAAATATATGTCTGCTAATGAACGAACGAATGTTACATTTGAGCTGAGAACTGAGATTTTCCTATTCTGGCCAATATGGCCAATTCTTCTTCAGGTACCACTCTGGTGGTGTGTCAGGGATTTTGCCGCAAAAGTAACGATGAATCGTCAACGAGTAAAACTCCCTGAAAGATAATGATTATCATATGAGGTTCGGAATTGACAAGTTGGCGCTATTGTAGATTTGCAATTAGTCTGGGCGGTGTCAGAAAGGGCGGAATGATCCCGGTTTGCTATACCAGTCGTGATCGGTGGTAATAGATTAGGGAAGAAAACAGCCAGCTATGAAAATGCCGCAGATGGGCTTGTTCCACCCCTCTGAATGCCCCCGGCTGATTCCGACGATATCAGCTGTATGTGTCTTCAAAAAGGGTGGTCTAGAAGGAGAAAAAAACGGAGCGTCAGGGAGTGTGGATCAGCGAAGTCGAAATCAGGGCGAAGATCAATGACATCTTTGTTAAGGAATCCCCAACAGGGGGGGGTCGTATTTGGCCGCCAGGAGAGGGGGGTCGTATTTGGGCTGAGGAAAATTTATTTTGATAGTTGATTTTTCTCGCTTCACGGACGTTGTAAAGGGGGGGGGTCATTTACTTTCTGGCCTTTATAAATAGGAGTGGTGGGAGTGGTGGTTGACTTTTGATTTTCCTGTCTCATGCGTAACGCATGTACCCTCTTCCACAAACCCGCCGGTCCCTCCCTTGGTTTCCTGCACCTTCTCACCGAGAGTGTTTTTCATTGGAAAAAAGTTCGTTAAGCAAAGAAAAATCATAGAAAATGTTACTTCAACGTCATGGAACCATAGAAAATTTGAGAGCGAAATTGTAGGCCCGAAGAATTGGTAGGAACATTTCACTTATACTGTTTATTTTTTACTAGACCAACTTATGAAGATTCGCTCACCCCTTATCGTCTACGCCTCGTCGGATATCAGAGATCAAATCAAAGTGGATAACATCTTCATCATTTTTATCGTATTTCTCCTCGGCTTCGAAGAACTCGCCTCGTCGAACGATAACCTGAACGAACAGAATGATTACGTAAAAATTACCAAATATCTGCTGTCCGCACTGCATCAGGATTATTACAGGGACGGCCTCAGTCTGAGGCGCTTCCAACCGGTAATCTTATGGTTAGGGGAGATCCTTAAAAGAACTAAAATGACGTTTCGGAGCGGGCCAAACCTACCCTTGACTTTCCAGACTTGACGGAGGCGACCAGGTAAAGCGAAGTGGTTCTAATGCCTAGGTTGTGCGGCGCAGTTTGCCGACGAGGGGGCATTTTGCACTTTCGTTGCTTCACTAGTTCTGGTTTACAAGTCTCACTCTGGTGAAACCTGTGAACTCTTGTGAAGCTGGAGCAAGCTCGTCAAGCCATCACACTACGTTTAGATTGAACTAACCTCGAAAATCGAGCTTGTATGATCAAGAACTGACCTTGCATTACTGAGATGGAACTCGATACTACAGGGCGTATGACAGTGAGCGGACATCACCGTTGACCTATTAATGGGGTCTTGTTTGGCGTCGAAGAAAACTCTTTTGATAGCTGATTCTCAGGAGCGCTACACATAGACCGTCCTATCGGCGACCAGCATACAGCATCGGTATGGGTGTATTGAAGGTGTCAGTACGACCCCCTAAAATTTCCTCTTCCACTACCACCGCCCTCACGAGCTACTTACCATACTGCTAAAATCTTCCAGCCCCTTACCAACTTCCTTTTCACCAGTTCTTTTCACCTGACATCATTATACCATCCCTTCCCCAAGAAACTGGTGTCGATGATGGGCGTGAAATCAGCTACCGGAGGAAATTCTCTCCGC